TAGAATGGTTAGGGTTGGAAAGGACCTTAAGATCATCTAGTTCCAACCCCCCTGCCGTGGGCAGGGACACCTTACGCTAAATCATATCACCCAAGGCCTCGTCCAACCTGGTCTTGAACACTGCCAGGGATGGAGCATTCACAACCTCCCCGGGCAACCAATTCCAGTGCCTCACCACCCTTACAGGAAAGGATTTCCTTCTTATATCCAACCTAAACTTCCCCTGTTTAAGTTTTAACCTGTTATCCCTTGTCCTGTCACTACAGTCCCTAATGAAGAGTCCCTCCCCAGCATCCCTATAGGCCCCCTTCAGATACTGGAAGGCTGCTATGAGGTCTCCATGCAGCCTTCTCTTCTCCAGGCTGAACAGCCCCAACTTCCTCAGCCTGTCTTCATACGGGAGGGGCTCCAGTCCCCTGATCATCCTTGTGGCCCTTCTCTGGACTTCAGAATTTAGTTTTTCTTACTTTTTCCTCTTTGCAGAAATGTTACTCCTTATAACTGCTATGTTTACATCACTGAAAAATTGTTTAACTGAAATTCAAGCAGACAACAGTAAGTCATCTGCAGTATGGGTTATTCTAACTCATCTTCACAAGCAAATGCTCAATGCTCAGAGGATTCACTATCAAATTTCAATGATCAGACATTACCATTTAATTGGATAATTATAAAGGGTCTTTTAAAGTTAAATGCACGGGTCACTTAAGTGAGATGATAGTTCATACAGCACCAAAAAAAGAGACAGATTGTAGTCACTTCACTCTGTTCTGGACTGTTTTTAAACTGCCCCAAGAATGTCCACAAATCTCTTCCTACTTCATCTACTAAAATCCATTATGAACTAACCACCTTTTAATCATTTTTCCTCTAATGAAATTTCCTTTAAAAATCTTTTAAAATTACATACTAATTTTCTTTCCAGAACAAAATGTTCACTCAACCAGCTAATAAAACAAAACCAAGCAGCAATTCAACAGTGCAAAGCATCTGACCATTATAACTGAATTTGCAACTCTGATCAAGAGATTTTCAGATGGAAAAATAATACTGTATATGAACTATTCATTCTACACATTAGTCAGAGGTACACAGATATCCATCTAACAGACTTGGACTGCAATTCAGTCATCCCTCTTACAGAATATCTACTCATTACTAAAGCATTTGTATACTCTTAAATACATTGTTTAAAGACTGACAACGTTCAGTATTTACTACATAAATTTTTTTTAAACTTCATTAAGCAAACTTAAGCTAATGCAGAAGACAGGTGCCAAGGCAAAACTGAGCATTTCACTGTACTATGAAAGAAAGGGTACTTTATGCATTTCATTAACGAGAGAAATGCTAATTGTTATGCATGGTCCAATAGAACAGATTACTACTATAATAATTCAATGAATGTGTTCAGATTATTTTTTCTAAGACATCAAGATCTCCATATATGCTAAACTATGATTTTTAGTGTAGTTGCAGAAGTAGACAAAAATGTGAGGGGGATAGAAAGATTTTTAAAAATTAAGTAGCTTTTTAACAATAAACATTAAAACGAAGACCAGATCTGATGACTAGGTTAAACTGACATTAACTAACTCAAAACAATTCCAGCATACAAGTAGAGCTATGCGTTAAAATGATAAAAATATCCCTAAACCACAAATGCAGAAGATAGAGCTAATACACATGAAATGAGATGAGGAAAAAAAAACAAAACCAAAAACAAACCCACAAAATAAACAAACAAACAAAAAAAACAGCAATGGAGGGTTCTGGGGTTTGTTGGGTTTTTTTTGTTGGTTTTTAAGATAAATGAAATGCAAGACAACAACAAAAAAAAAGGATAGCAACACCAAAGTGATTGCACTTATGCAATGAACAAGATTCTGTTGAATAAGTTTCAACATGAAGTCTGGCCCTGATACTAATTTATATTAATGTCATGTGTAAATATATTCTACATCCCTGTTAGCAACCCAACTTGGTGGATGAAAGCATAAGGCTGGAAAGTGTCGTCTTCTTTTACGCTGATTTTCTTTGTGATTCAGCTGAGAATTAAAAACCAGAAAGACTAGCCTTAAATTCATCATGGCGGCTAAGAACAACATGCTGTAAAAACTTAATACTAAAAATGGTACTATTCATTTCAAAGTTTTAATCTATTCTATTCTATGGTTAAACTAGTCAAACTGTAGCTCTTCATGAGCTATTCTTCAAATAAATAATATTTGAATACCAGAAGTCATTTCATACCTAAATACCCTGTGATACCTACTTATTCTATGTGAAAATTCATTTTTCTTCAACTAATTTTTTATTAGTTTTTTTCTTTTTTGCATGCAAATACAAGCTATGGATTTCATTTTAAAGATAAACCAAAGGCAAAACCAGACTGCCATTTCACTTGTACAAGACAAATGTCAGTTTTTAGTGAAACAGTAATAGAAAACACTTCAGAGCTCTTAAAACCACACTGCTTTGTAATTCTTCTATGTAATAAGCACTTTCACATAATAACTGTAAAACAAAGAGGACACTTGACAATGCACTCTTCACACTCATGTTTCAGTAGCTGCAAGGCAGAAATCAATAGGTTCCTGTTTCCCTAGAAGTCACATGGATTTGTTTCCTTTCACTCAAAAAATGCTTAGGAAAAGCAGCTTCCCACCTTCTTATTGTTGAATAGTCTATCTGCTATAGTTATTACAGTCAAGAAAATTTTTATTATAAAATGACTTGTTAGATTCTATACTTGCTCAGGTACCTGGAAATATTTAGCACCCATCAGATAAAAGCAGGAATAATGAAAACATTGAACTATGACCTTTCCAAGCGAGTATCCCTAACTACAAAACCAACTGAAATTCATAAATACATGGTAAAGAATTCTAAACACAGTACATGCTTGTAATTGCTGAAAGTTTTTATGCATTCTTAATAACTATATCTCATTTGAGAAAATACAATTCAAAGAGGGGAGTTACTAGAATAAATTGCATTTGCATAAGCATACTTTTAATGGCAAAGTTCTTGAAGAAGCATGATAGGGCAGGAAAGAAGTGTGAAGAAAAGGGGAGAAAGGAAAGCATACTGATCCGATTAAACTGAAAATGCTACACACTTATCTGACTTATGAAGTTGTGTAATTTTATTTAAAAGTGCTACCCAATAAGCATGCGGACAAATATAAAGCTATGCAGTTATACAGGCAATTTTTACCTTCTCTAAGTACATGGTTCAGAAGCATAAGTTAAGTATCTTTTGTAATGCAAATTATAAGTGTTCTAGTAGTAGCTGAATTGTCTAAAGAGAATACAATATGGAATGTCAAGTTCTGTGTTTAAATGGGTCATTCTAATCATGTCTAGATTAAGTACCTAAATCACCACAGCATACATGAAAACTGCAGTCAAGCTCAGACAAATTCTTAGATTTCGAAAGCGAACAATAAAATTACAAGAAACATTAGAAATGCTGAGCTTTTTTAACACGGAAGAAAAATATAAAATGTGATGGAGAATATGAGAACAAAAATAAATCTGAGGTATATACTGAAAATTGAATGGATTAGAGTCAGAGGAACCAACATTAAATGACAAGTGGCAAGACTGCTTTGTTTAATGTCTGGTGAAAGAGGAATCCAATTCAGAGTATAGGAAAAGCAGAGAGGCATCTCTGATGCTTATCCAAGTCCTTCCCTTTCCTTGCACTGTTTATAAATGACATCCCAAAGGTGAGCACAGATGAGGAATACCTATATTTCCTAAAACCATCTGTACTGAGACTTAAAGAAGGTCCTGATTCATTATGACATTCTTATCATAGGGAAGATTCCAGCTTCATTCAACTTCAGCTCAAAGGCTGGAGGACTGCTCCTTTTCTCTCCCATCAGCGCAATAATACCATTCCTCACACTTTTTCTCTTGTGCCGAGTGCAGCTTCTCTCACAACTATAAGAAGGTCCTAGTCTTCCTAGACACACCTTTTACTATCTATCTTTCCTGCTGAAAACTGCATCTCTTGCTACTTCCTCCCTTGCACTGGCCTGGCTGCTAATACCCTGTCATGCTAGTTGAACTTCCTCTTGTTTTCACGCTATAATATAAAAGAAATATACTCACATTATCAGTACTATTTCCCTCCTTCAGAAAGTAACATTTTGTAGCTCTTAAAATGGTACCTCCCAAATCCTACCAGACTCCATTTGAAATGCAAATATTCTAGAGGAAACCACGAGTTATCTATTTTTAGAAAACCCTTCTGCTGCTTCTAACAAAGACTTTTAGATCTGCATTCCCAGATTTCAATACCTCTGATACCTGAAGTGAAAGCCAAAAAATAGCCATTTTAACATTTTCTCAGAAGTAAAATCCTGCGCAATTTTGACTATCAGAAATCTAAAAAGTGTATCTGGAGATAGAACTCTACCTTACAAATAATTAACAACTAACATCAACAGTCAGAGATCACTATGTTAAGTACTACGCATATATTTAATAAGATACAAGCTTTTATCCTAAAAGCTCTACAATTAAGCCTATTAAAAGTGACACAAAGACAGGAGAAAGAGACAAGATAATAATACATTAATTATTATTAGCATAAAGAAGAGTCATAGCATACCATTTGCCTAGTCACTGCAAAGTATTAGCACAATCAAGCATTTTTTAAAAAGCATCTGAAAATGTTAATGTAAGTGGCTTCTCAGACTTATGGGGATCTCTCCTTTTTTCACATAAAGGGCAGCAGGAGGGAGCATGGAGGTATTTCAGGGAAAACTGGAACAGACAAAAATGTCTGACAACATTGGCAGGCCAAAAAGCAATGAGCTGAAAGCTCAAACCCCAGTAAAACAGACTAGTAGATTTCAATCTATGAAGAATCTAAAGGCAATTTTTTTTTCTCCCCTCTCAACTGTGTTTATGATTTCAATGAGACAAAATCTGACTTTGTGATCTTGCTGGATTCTGTCCACGTTTACCGGAGATTCAAACACTCACCTCATCAGTAAGAAACTCCTTACTCAGACCGAAGTCTGTCAGCACCACATGGCCATCAGAATCAAGGAGAATATTCTCAAGTTTTATATCCCGATATATAATTCCCAACTGCAAAGAGAATAAAAGTCTTTCCAAATCAATGTAAACACATCAAGGAGACATTTTTTAATGTATTTAAATAAAACACAATGCTAGTGAATTTCCTATTATTAAGGTAATTTGACCCTGAAAGTTGCACCTCAAAAAAGCACAATATTTAAATGTCTTTGAAAAAAATAACTTCGAGCAACTTAAAAATTCTTAGAAATTACACTATGCATTAATACCTTAAAACTTAAAGGACATACAATACCCTTTGAATCTAAAAGTGACACAAAGCAACACTACATGCTGCAGACAAAAACATGCAGTCTTAATCTGGTGCACATGAATAGACACTCCATTAGGAAGTTTTTATAATTATACAACTAATGTTCAGTTGCTACATAAAGTTACTTTGAGTTTAAAACAACTTTAAAAAAATAGTTCTTCTTACTAACTTTATATAATGTAAAAAGAATACAGTTGTAATCCCACAAAATCAGGACAAAGTTACTTTACCTTGTGGAGATGCTCAAGTGCCAAAACAATTTCCCCAATGTAAATTTGCACCTCATTTTCTGAGAATCTCTCTCTCTGTGAAAGGTGAGTAAACAATTCTCCTCCATTTATATAGTCTAAAAAGTAGAACAAAGAACCTTTTAATTTCACTTTCTGACAACTTAATTTTCTTACTGGAATATTGATAGGTACTTCATAAGCTATTAAATAACATGTTCTGGGATCAGATGCTGTTATTTCATTGTAATTCAGTAATTCACCATGCTGTACAATACTCAATTTTCTTCTTAGAGGACTAAAGGAAGAACACAACCAATGTTTTAACAGACAGCAAAACTATAAAATAAACCTCAACTATCCATGAATTAGAAAGATGAGTATTTTCTCCAAAATTGGACTTTCAGTTATTCAGGAATATTAAAAAAAAAAAAAGGAGTACAAATGATAGCTACAAACAGAATACTTTGTACACTCTTATTTTGGAGCAACAAGGCAGACTGACGTAAAGGCAATTCAGAAAACAGGTATTAGGTGAAATAATGGGCAATTACAAGTTTCACCCTTTGTAAGGTGAACTTTGATAGCAAAACTTACTGGAGAAGATTATTTCTACATATATTCCCTCATGGAAACCACACTTCGATTCTCCGCAGGCTATGACACAAGGGTTTTGACCACAGTCAAGGTGGTGGTGGTGGGGAAATAAAGTAATTTTTACAACAAAGTTCCACTGCAACACAAATATATTTTGTATGTACAGCTGTTTATGCTAGCATTGTACATTAAAGCCATTAATTTGCTATCCCAAATCCCCCATATTGTATTTAGAGTCTACATATACAGAGCAAGGAATGTGTTCCACATCTGACTTAACATTTCCTTCAGTATGGTTTCTAAAGATTCACTGGTATAATACATAAATCCATGGAAAAGGTCCAATATTGTTATAAGTAAGTAAACACCTGGAAGGAGAAAGCATAAATACATAAATTATAGACATTCTGATCTCTTTTCTCTTTTCAGCACTCCGAGTCTCTGTTTGGGAAGGGGTATTAGTGGAATAAAAGAATGTGAAAAAGGTAATTTATCTAGATCAGCACACATTTGAAAAAGAAAATACAATAAAGTATAAATAACCCATATTTTACAATTGCTTCCTTCTTAATAAAAAAAGCAAAACACACAACTCCGCATTCTAACCATGAAGAAAACATAAATAAATAAAATAAAAAAATATTTCTAGTCAGTACTGCTAACTTGGTACAAATCAAGAATTGAACTTCCTGGCACTGCTCTAACGACTGTGACAGATATGAGCCAAACTGCCACAGGAGTGGCAGAACAAGCCTAATTCTGTTCAGGTTATAACACTAACCACAGCCCAGTGAAACAGCCTGCCTTCAAACTCTTGGTGCTAAATCAAATGCACCACTGACACAAGGGAAAAAAAAACCCAAAACCCCTAACTACCAGTTACTTCAATATAAACTCCAGCTGACAGGTCAGATTGTTTTATTAATTTTTGTTTAAGTATCAGTAGTTTAACCTCATGTGACAAGCTTTGTAGAGAACTGGCTGTAGAGAAGTGGTGCTCACATAGATACAACGCTGTTCTTTCAATCATAGCTTAAAGTCAACCTAAAAAATGGAATCGTTTCCAAACCCTGCATTCGGGGAATTTGGCAGAAATGCAACAGCATGTCTGCACTTGATCCAGACAAAATTCATACAGCTATGGAAACTGACAGAACAAAGAATTGTATTAAATATTGCACTGAGGCTCCAATTTTAAAACCTCTTGAAACTCAAATGACATGTTGCTCATACACCAAGCTCAGCTACAAAAACAAAGGCAAAGACTGGTTTCCCCAAAAATTCAGAAGCCTCTGAAAAACAAATTCCAACACTAAATCGAAGAAATTATTTACAGAGATTTATATAATGAGATATAATAAACTTGCAACAAACAACTGGTTTTTTTTCTGTCAGGGAAGGTATGAAGGCCAGGGACAAAGAGAAAGTAGCTTTAGGCCATGTTATGTAGGCGAGATTTTCACTGTTACAAAAAGTGACTAAAAGAAATTTTTAATACCACCCTAATTATTCACGTTTTTTGCTAAAAGGAAGGGGATAAAAGCACCTTTCTGGCCTCAACTGATATTCTGAGAATGGGTTCATGCAGTCTTTGTGTGAAAGCAAAAAAAAAAAAAAAAAACAAACCAAAACACCTCTAATGATACAACAGATCTGAATTTCTTACTTTAAACACCTTAACATTGTGTCATGGTGGGTGTATACCCAACCTGCACTATCTGCTATGCAATGCTCTTCAGAACTACTGGGCTTCCTACTCTTTGACTCTTATGAGAATATAATGTAAGCTTTTAACTTGCCCTTCATGTAAGCAGTTCTTCTGGCCTTCTAATTATCCTTGTCACCTAAATTTCTGTATAACTGTGTATATATTTTTAGGTAACTACATCCATTTTGTGTGAGGACTGGTTTGGTTTGGTGCTTTTTTTAATATATTTTAATGGTATCTAAACTGCTTTCTAACCAAAAATATCTGGATTTAAAGAATTGTACTACAATATCTATAACACATGTTCACATTCTCATTTTGTTTTTCTTCTTTTTTTCCAAAATTCCTAACCCTAACTTTAATAATGAAGATTTTTTTTTTCATTTGTATTGAAGGTTAGCAACAAAGCTATCAATGTACTTCTAACTTTTTGTGTCTTTAGCATTTTCCAGCCAAAGACAACAGCTTACAGATTTCTTTGATGTCCTACTCAGAGGAATTTGTAAGAATCCTTACTGAAAATGAGAGTTGAGAATCGCAAACGAATCTAGTGAATACTCTATTTAAGCTTGAGCTTCTCAGACACCTGTATTACCTCACTGCAGCAAATGAAGCTAAGGTATGTGTATAGAACACCTTCCTAAGAATTGACAGACAGTGGCATAGATTTATGTAACATTAATAAAATTTTATTAATTTAATGTCTAAATCAGCCACCTAATAAAGGTTTAATAAATTGAAGTTACAAGCTAAAAGGAAGTGCAAAACTTGTACTTCAATTAAGGGACCATTCACTTCTTCAAATTTTTCACTCCAAAAATGTATTCTGCATCCAAGCATTAACTTGATTATTCACTTTCCAGTTCCAAATACTGTAAGTAAGTGGCCTTTTCAAACTGCTTGTAATTTTCTTACAAATACATATGCATACCAAACACAAAATTTGTTGCTGATCTGAAAGGTAAAAGTATTTCTAATTTTAGGGTAGTACCAAGCCTTATGAATAAGCTGTACTTTCAGCATATAAATGTGTGATTTTGGATTGCCTCTTAACATCCAAAAATCAAAACATGCAGTATCTCAATACTCAAAGATCAAAATGTTTCATAAAAAAAAAAAAAAAAAAAAAAAAAAAAAAAGGTTTGGCAGCAAATGCTTCCTGAACCAGTAAGGTTAAGAGTTGATTTTAATACTCTTACTCCAGGAGCTGGAAAAAAAGTTCCTCATGATCAGGAAAAATCCTTCATCTTCCTGAAAAAGATAGGACTCTTCAAAAGAAACGTAACTGGGGAATAAAGCAAAAGGAATATAACTCTCTAATCTCAGCCTCTTTCCCCAAAACATTACTGTCCTAAAAAAGGATAGTGGTAGGGAATAGCAACATATGCACATATGGAAATTATATGTTAGTTGAAAACCCTAGCAAAATTCCTGATAAGTCTTTTGCCAGCCTTGAAACTGATGTGGTTCTTCACATCAAAATGGAAAGCAAATAGTAAGGATAGAAACAGAATAAAGAATGTTCTAATAAGGCTTGCCATCCAATAGTTCATTATCCAACATCTCCTGTAAATGCAGGTTTACAAAAGTTACTAGTAGAACTTGCCAAAATGAAGTATCACAATGCATAAAACAAACTGACCCACAATACAAGTATTTTCACCAGCATTTTACAGCAGGGAGCCATACCAACAAGATGTAGATTACAGCGTTGTAAGGAATTTGACCACAAAAAAGCACAGTCATCTCTAACTGGCATTGCCCATGTTTGTTCGGAAGAACTGCCTCACACAGTCTTTAAGAATGCAGCATTTCAGTGTTAAAATGGCATACTACTGATTAGCATAGTGATAAAATAGCCCTGTCCTCTCAGACAGATGACAACATTTCGAAAACACTGATCACAGTAAGGACAATATACAACATGGGTTTAGAGTGAAACATGCAGTATGTTTGAAGGCTTTCTGCTGCTTAAATACTCCTTACTTTTTTTCCCACCAGCTAATCCTAGTAACAAAGTCACGTTTGGTCATCCCACCTTACTAATAACCTCTGTGCCACATACACAAAAGCAACATGCAGAAAATATAAAGTAACTCATTTTAATGCCCATACTCATACAGATTAAGAGCATTCACAGTAGCAGTTTGTGACTTAGGCGGCATATAATAATGGTTTAGAAAGTACAAATAAAAATTTCTTCTGCTAGTCAAGTTCAAGAAAACATTTTTCTGGTTCAAGTCCTTATTGTCCTATACATTTATTTTTGATGCATATAAGTCACATATACTTCCACCCACCCTAAGTCAAAGTAGCACATTGAATTTCAAACAGGAAAACCACAAACACAGACACTGTTGCAGATTAACAGTATTTTACTTCCTATAGTCTCGCATGCAATCTCCAAACACACGGTACTTAAGACCACAAGAAAAAAACACCACAAAATATTAAGGAGTTAAAAGAGCAGGGTTTGGTTGTTGTTGGTTTTTTTTGTTTGTTTTGGGATTTTTTCAATTAACATAAGACTTAAATCCTGAAAACTACTCACCTAAAATGAGATGAAGCTTTGTATCTGTCTGGAAGGCATAATGTAAAGTGACCAGAAATGGTGATTGCCTAATGTGCTCCAACACTTGTCGTTCTGTCCTTGTGTGTTCAGTTGTTTTGGCTTTTTGAACTATTGTTGCTTTCTTCAGTACTTTCATGGCATACAGCTTTCCAGCATCATGGCCACTTACTTTCCTTACTAGGAACACTTTTCCATAGGCTTAAAGAAAATGTAGGGAGACAGAAACAAAACAAAACAAACAAAAACAGTCACCTCCTCATACCACAGGTCTGGTTGATATAACTATTATTTTCAATTACTCACTGTTAAGCGTTACTCACAGTACCCATTCAGGCTAAAATCTTTCAGAACACTTTTGTTTCAGACTGGCATTTTCTGAGCAAAACTTCAACCAAATAAGCTTAGTAACTGAACACAGCAAGAGCAGGAAAAAAACAATCAGTGTTTCAGGATTGAAAAAACATCTAAAAAGCTTCCTTTGTAGTAACCTAAAACTCCCATACATAGAATTTAAGAAAAATGTAGAGTTAAGAGAGATGCTATTTTTTTTGTCCTCAAAACAGTCTGTTCATATGTGCACAATTTACATTCTTTCATTACTGGCTTTACAGCACTGAAGTTCAAAAAACTCACAGAAAAGCCAATGTATTTAGTACACAGGAATTTTCTGAGGCTCAGATACTGAACTTAAATGAGTATATCCTAGAGAAGATATCTCAAAAAGAAAGTTTTCTAAACAGAAGCAGTAAAAAGAATAGTCACCAGAACGACAAGGTAGTCTTCCCAGAGTTTTCAATTATTGAATCTACATGTTCAATTTGGCTAAAAATACTCTCCATACTGGAGTACTAAATGACAAATACGGACTGTTTGGTTGGGGTTTCTTTATAAAACAGGGCTCCTGGGAATTGTACACAAGTAGATTTGATACCTCAGCTAGGGAAACCTGTACAAACAATAAAGGCTAGAATTAGTAGATACACAAACAGGATACTACATGAAAAAAATGTTACTTTTGTATATGATAATGATTATTTCTATTAATAATCATTCAAAGGAATCAGGAGGCAGGAACAATGATACGGTTGACTTATTTAGATTTCCAAGATACTTAAGTTCCCTTACCAAAGGGTCTTAAAAAACACTAAATAGTCATGGTTGCAAAGAAGAGGGTCCTCTTATGAAGAGCTATATTAGCAAAAAAAACCACAAAAGGTTAAAAAAAAACAAAAACAAACAGTTTTTTTTTGGTGAAAGGAGGTCACAACAAGAATGATTCAGACATATATGAATAGTGAGGAAGCTGATTTTCTTGGTTTAGTTATTCATCCACTGCAACAGAAAACAAAGCTGACTGCTGAAAACTGTACCACAGTACCAAAATATTGAGAAGCTGAAAAATAAAATGGCAGATAAAATTCCAAATAGGAATGTAATTAATATATTAATTTTATATATAATATAAATATATAAATAATAAATATATATAATACATAAATAATAATTAATTGTGCATAGAGTTATAACTGAGAAAAAATAATAAGAAGAAAATAGAGTTACCAAATAGGTAACTACCATATAAATAGACTTTACCCTATGAGAAAACACCAGTGGTAATCCAAAAAAGCAAAGAGAATATTAAAACTTCAGAGAAGTACTGAAGGGGAAAAATGATACAAAACGTACTGACTTCCAAACCTTCAACACAAAACTAGAAATCCCTTATGCTCTGGTATGAAACTTTTGTGTGCTCATATCTTGAATGATGCACACCTTTTTGGTCTCTTTTCTTTCCCTAGCTCTGCCCTGCCCCCAGTCATAAAAAAAAGTATAGAAGAACTTTAAAAAAATACAGAAAAGATAAAAGAATTCTTCTAATTATGAAGGGAACTAAGCACGCTTAAGACTTTTTATTTAGCCTGGAAAATAAAGAGTATTTAAGAATATGCTAAACAGTTAAAAATCAAAAATGGTATGAAGGTAAGTGAAGAACAATTTTTCATTATTTCCAGAAATAAAATACCTAAACTAAATCACCGGGTATCAAGATTAAGAAATGCCCAAAACACACAAATAAATAGTGGTTAAGCTGTGGAACAACTCTTCCATTATGCTGCTGATGTCAGAAACCTAGATGAGTTCAAAATGATTATACAAATCTTTGAGGGAGAGGAAAGTACACCAAGAACTGCTAAACACAAATGAGAATCTCTGGCTCAGGCAGACCCCAAACAGGATGCTACAAGTTCACTACGGAAAACACCGTTGTATGCCTCTCCACATTTTGAAGGATCTCCTTAAGCCATCATGAGAGACAAAAACCAACCAGCCGAGTGTTTTGTTCAATCCCTATAATTATCTTCAATTACTTTCTCAAAGACAATGCTCACTCTTTTCAAAATTGTAAATACACCAGATAAGGTATACTGTCCTGACATGAGACACACAAATTTAGTTGGTCTTTAAAAATGCTATGGCATACACTGCTTCCAGTAAGAACTGGGTGGAACTCCAGATACTTTCCATTTTTTTTCCAGGCAGGTAATAGAGTTACAAATTATCAAATTACATGTACTTTCTTCTTACAACAGAGTTCTGCTTCATTCAATATACAAAAGTGATATTGCTCATATAATAAAAAACTCTTTTTAAGTTCTTTACCTGACTCATCACCCCCTAAGGAATCATGCTTGCCTTCTTTACAGAACTCGTTATTCTCAATACGAGCTTGCAAAAAATTTTTCACAACAAACCTCTCAAGAATGGCAAACAGTGTCAGGACAGGTTAGTGTAAACATATCTGTCTACTTTGGGAGGCAAATGGGAGATACCCAGGGCAATCTTTTTCAAGATGTTCAGTATTGTATCACATTCCCCAACTTTAACCGTAGTTAGGACATCTCAAGTGTACCTAAGTCAGATCCAGTGCTCACCAGCTGGTCATCAAGAAATGGATAGCCACATAGATGTAAAAAGCTTTTTTACTTTAGTAAAATAGGCATGGGCTATATATATATCCTGTCACAATGTACAGACACAAGTGATCTGAATCAAGGTTGTACAGACCATAGTACTGTGACCACAGTAATACTGTTATGCATATACACATTTTTAATGTTATTCACCTATTTTTTAAATATTGGATGTTAAATTATTTTTAGCATCTGAAAACCAGACCCCTATTACTGAAAGCACTGGTATTAAATAAAAACTGCTTTTTTAAGGAGTTACTTCTCAAAAAAATGTACATAATGCTTCTGCATTCTACCACCATGCAACAAAAACAGCATGGAGAATGGCCTTAGCTTGCATTTCTGAACTGTTTATGGGAGCAGTCCTAGTTTTCACTAATGTTCAGCTGAACTTCCTTGTGTCTCTCTGAAAAGTTCATTAAAGCGCATTAAACAGAAGTTTCCTTGGATTCCCAGGAAACAGTTTTATCAGGAATGCTGGATCCAGAAAATCATTGCATTAAACTAAATTAAAACAACAAAAGCCCCTAGATCTTACACACTTGTCTACCTGTATCACAGAATCACAGAATGGTGAGTGTTGTAAAGGACCTTAAGATCATCAAGTTCCAACCCCCCTGCCATGGGCAGGGACACCTCACACTAAACCATGTCACCCAAGGCTCTGTCCAACTTGGCCTTGAGCACTGCCAGGGATGGAGCATTCACTTCTTCGGGCAACCTGTTCAGTGCCTCATCACCGTTACAGCAAAGAACTTCCTTATATCTAACCTGAACTTCCTCTGTTTAATTTTAAACCCATTGCTTCTTGTTCTACAGATGCAGTCCATGATGAAGAGTCACTCTCTGGCATCCTTGTAGGCCCTCTGTATCTTTAATCATACTTAATAAAAACATCTGGCATCTTAAATGGCAAAACGCCAGCAGTATATCAATAGCACCTACTAGAGCTTTACATACAGCATAGGAGAAAATTACCTGCCAAGTGTAATAGCTGTAAGGGAAACTCTAGAAACTATACTAGCGTTATCATAAAAGAATTTGCAACATAGAACTTTACCATGGTACAACTTGTTTCTTCAGCTATCTGAAAAGGACTGACAGAATGACGATGATTCTCAGCAGTTTTGATGAGAATAAATCTAAAGTAGCACTATTTTAATCAAATGACTCACGATACATTCAACACCAGGAATGTATCTCTGATAACACCACAGAAAATCTACTTAAAAGACAACACTGCAAAAGCAATTCATTTGAGTGGCAGCAAGAAGGTACATAGGCTAACTGCAAGAACACCCTTGCCTGATAATCTTATTTGAGAAATTAAGAAGGCTTTCCTGAAGAAGCCACATTTCAGTGTTCATTCTCGTAAAATCTCATGCACATCTCAAGCACCTCAAAGGCAGAAATATTTAGACAGCATTATATCCCCCATAAAGAAACATACAGAAGTCCGCAAATATTCACCCCCAAAATTCATTAATACTTTAAATGATGAAAGAACTAGAAGTCTATAGTCTTCTGTATTATTTATATAATATGTATTATACACACACACAAACTATGTTAGACTGACCTTGCAGTTTATTAAGGTAATTAATATAAAATTAAATGTTTGAGAAAAAGAAATTATTAGTTGCAGACTGATATAGATATTGGGTCAGTAAGATGAATAAAAGATTACATACCAGCTATTTTTACCAAAATTCCACTTAAATTTGTAAGGCAGAAAAATATAATTGTAGGTTAAAACTTTCGCTTCTGCCTTTTTCATGAATACACATGGCAGTACACACCATAATAAGTAGCAATTCAGCAAGTCATTATAATATTCTAAAGTACACACTTGCTGAAAGACAATGAATTAAAAATAAAAAGTATTATTTGCTGCTTTATCCTTTCTGTATAAATGCAAGCACATTAAGCCACTGCATCATGCCAGTTAATTCTTGCAGAAAAAAAGTCAAGCAATTCTCATTGTTTATTTCACACAAGGATGGGTTATGCAGACTTCTAAATACATCAAAACTTGACATTTGCATACAGACAGTTTTAAAGCAATGTTTTCAAGTGTTACCATAAGCTACATCCCTTTCTTAGATTACTTACACTGACAGTAAAAAAGAGTAATCATGAGACAACAAAGAAATGGCTCAGATATGAAATATTTAAAGATTTGAATAAATTTCACTGAATTCTATCAAGATATATGCCTAATGACCT